GTTGCCAGAACACCCCCATAGTAGTAAAGAGACTTGCAAAGTGTCATTCACTGGACAAACCAGAGAGGGGTCTGCAATTGTACAGTCCTTTTAGTCACTGTAGAGTTATCTGTGCTCTTTGAAATGAGGGAGACTTTACAGAAAAATCCTGCTCTACACTAAGCAACTCTTAGATTTGCAGAGTGTCTGATGTAGCCCCAAGTACCCCAGGTTCTCAGAGGTTGATCATGGGCTGCTTTGTATCCTGGAGGGATGTGATGGTCCTGCTGGGTGGTCTTGCCTCTTTAAAACAGAAAAAAGTCACACAGACCAAAAGAACAGCACTGCAAACTAACCAAAAATGTGAGGAATGCAAGCTCTGCCAATCAAGTAAATAAATAAAATGTGACATGCTTCATAACAACCGGACACTACATACTTCTCAACCCTGCACAGTTGAAAAGCTTCACTTTTCCATTAACCCTGCAAAAGTTCTCATTTTCCTAGTCCCGGTGGCCTTCCTGCTGTGAAGCCACAAAGACAGCCTCCACCACCAAAAAATAACTAACCTTAACTCTGACTCCACAATATCAGGACCACAGATACCTGTCTCACCCAGTGTCCTCAGGGACGCACAGCCAAGCTTCAAGGCATAAATATCAACTGAGCAGGCGAAAAAATTCTCTTCGCTTTACTTCTCGTTCCTTCTCATATAAGAGGCTTATGGGGGCCATCTCGCCTACTGAGCACCACAAGAGTTTCCAGAAATTCTACACTGGATCATTTTCTGTTTGTTTTCTAGTTGGTAGGGAGCTCTGGTGGCCTAAGTGGAAAGAAGTTGTGCTGCAATACCTAAGACACATGGTTCAAATCCACCAGCTGTTTCGTGGGAGAAGGATGGGCAATCTCTTCCCATGCAATTAAATGCCTCTGAAAACCTGCTGAAGGGTCAGCTATGGGTGGATTTCGACTTAACAGTACACAACAACAGTTAAGTAGAATCCATTATCCCACCAGCTCTTCCCTGGACACTGCTCTAAGTATTTTTATACATAATTGATTTAATCTTCATGTGAATCCAATGAGTTAGAACTACTGCTACACACCTTTAACAGATGCAGAAACCAGAACACAGAGTGATTAAGTAGTCTGTTCAAAGGCATGCAGCTTCTAAGTAGCACAGTGAGATTCAAACCCAGACAGACAGGCTCCAGAGTTCCTGGTGGTAATGATGGGCTCATTGGCCACTAATGGAATGGTCAGTCAGGCTCTGGAAGCACAGTGAATTTTCCTAATAGCCTAGCCTTAACCAGAATGCATCAAATCCCAGGCTGTGCTGACCTTCTATCTTGTGCATGTTGATGAAGATGCAACAAATGATCAAGGTGGCAATGAGACAAATCATCTTTCCTCCTCTAAAACCAACTCAGCTCCCCAGACAAACACCCTGTGCTTACAGTAGAGACCAAGGCAAAAGGAAGAAGAGGTGCTGATGCATTTGTAAAAGGCAAATGAACAGCAGCTTTTCCTTGGGCATGCTCACCTCATGAGAAGGTGGAGTGGGGAAGGAGTGCTCAGGAATGTATTTGCTTTGGCACCCAGCCTCCCTCCTTTCAGCAGGCTCCCACCAAGAGGACACTGATGGACACTCATTGGCAAAGGCTGCCCTGAGCCTATTTAAGATCTGAAAACCTGACCACACGATCACAGCCAAAACGATATACTACATAACACAAGCAAGGAAAATCCAGTTCCAGTGTTACTTAAAATGTATGCTAGTTTGGTACTTAAAACTGAAAAATACCCTATGAGATCCATCAGAGATATGGTGATGAATAAAGGAGACAGGTCTCCGGACTCCTGTTCTCATCCAACCTCTACATCGCTTCCCTCTTGCTCTCACACATTGATTTAAATTAATCATTTAAACCAGATTAGACCCCAAACTAGTTGTTCCCAAATAAAAGAACAAAACAGCTTGCAGAAATCATGTTGACAAATATTTAAGTCACAGCTCTGGACACACAGGCATGCGCTGTGAGAAGTTAAAACTTTAAACATATGTCCTACATGGTTCCACGGACAAAACAAATGTCCACTTAGCCAAAAGCCTACCCTGCTCCCAACAGAAACCACCAGTACCCGCCGCGCTGTTGCTTTCTTTGCACTTGCAAGCCCAAGTCTCAACTGCAATCTCTTTGCCAAGCTTTTCAAAAGGAACCTGAAATATTACTTAAGAACACATACACTGAAGAGTGCAGATGCAAGGATTAAGGCACTTCATCCATTGGTCTACTGGAGATTCTTAGATAATCTGTTTATCTATCCTGCACCCTATGTTCCTCTATGAGATGTTAAGTGCAATAGTCACATATAAACTACTAAGCTTTTAGGAAACTAAAACTTGTTAGTGGTATTAAGAGCCACTGGGTCAATCACAAATCACACTAAAGTTTAGTTATTATATCTAAACTTTCTTTCTAGTTTCTCTGTTTTTCCCAACCTAGTGTCTGTAATCAAATCCTGTTATTAGAATTAGAAAACTAACTGTTTTACCATTTGACTTTTTAAAAATAAAATTGTAGTTTATTCTGATATTGCTTAAAATAATAAAATGTGGACTCTTAGAATAGATAGAAGAAAGCCTGAAAGTTGCGTCAAGGGTTAATTCAAGAAAGATGAGAAAAAAGGATCTGGTGTGAGAAAAGAATGCTATTGTTATGTGCCCTGGAGTGGAGCAGACTAGACTCATAGAGAACCTATAGCTCTGAAGCCTGACCTACCCTGAACCAAGCTCATGGTCTCTGACACACCTGCCCTCATTACTGTGTCACTCCAGCTCATCTTCCTCTCCTGTCCTGTCCTTCCACTGTTCCAAGCAAGGACTGGCAACATGCCCAAAGTATGTGAGGCAGAGCCTCAAAATCCTTGCCTCCTAGGAACACCTTGGTTTCATCCTCTCAAACCTCTATTTGGAACAGGCCAGTTGACTTTTGTTATATCTGACTGTATTTACAAAACCTGAGCTGTGACTTAGAACCCTTTTCCACATAAAGAACCATCTTAAAAGTACTTATTATAATGGAAGGTGACTCTAGCATTGACATTACTGTCCCTAAAAGCTCCCTGATCAAGGTTTCTTTTTATCAATAATAGAAATCATGCACTTAAAATTTCTAATATTTAATATGTAATTACAAAAATAAAACAAAGAAAAGAAAATATCCAGCTGTTTGAGCTGTTTACTGAGATCTAAAACATGTGTTGCCGTGGGCTCTTTTTCAATTACTAGCAAGCATGGTCCATCATAGGTGTGTGGACTGACATTTGCATTGGGTATCTGCCAGAGGACCATATTTGCCTCCCCACACCAACAGGCATATAAACAAAGCATTCCTAAGGAAAGGACCTACTAGCTGAGTTTACATTTTTTGCTGGGAATCATCCTTTCACTTCTTTTAAGTATGGTTTGAATCAATTAGAAAAAAATACACCTTGTTTTTCTGGTATACCAGAATCCACAAACACAGCCATTGTAGCAGCACTGCTCCAGAGTGGAAGCTCTACAAGGCTGAAATGCACCCAGGGTTCTGGGTAATGCCTGCACTGTTCCCAACTGTCAGCCTCAGGAGAAGAAACAAGTCAGGCTCCAATCATTATAGTAAGAGAGGGCTGAATGTTAGGTGGTCCAAGAACTGAAGACTGGACCAGTGAGTGTCTCCAGTAACATTTCTGAAGGGTCTCTAAATGATAAAACACTAGCCTAACTTGTGTCACTTAGATTAAGAAAGAGTTAAAATAAACCCTAATCCAAAACCTTAAAACAAAACAACAGCTCATCTTGCCTAGTAAAGACCACCAGGATTTTTTAAGCTCTATCTATATATGATTGAAATGACAAGAGGAACTGGAAAAATTAGACTGGAACTTCAGGGGTCAGCGACTTTATGCTGACAGAGGAGAAGTAAGAAATTAGTGTGAGAATGTCTACTAAACTTTAAGGTGGCAATCAGTGTCTTGAATTGTATGTGTAGAAATTGCCAGAGTACGTGTTCTGCAACAACATATTCTAAACAACAAAATAAATAAAACACGAGGCTAATAATTGCGGCAGAAGAGGCACTAATTAACCACAAGGGAGCAGGGCTACTTATTGATAATCATTTACTTCTGAAATCACTAATCTCTAAGGACAGCAAACAGTTCCCAAATCCTAAAAAGGAGCATCATTCTTCTCAAATTGCGTTTGTTTCAGGAATTCCGTAGAAGAGTGCTCCATTAAGATGCTGAGTACAAAACTCTGTGTCTAAACCAAAGAGAAATTTCTCTCCTATCCATCCTGCTCCTTAAATACTTACAAGTCACAGTTTGGCCACCACTAACAGTCAAAGACTCAAAGTCACGTTTTGTATTGGGGATTTTCTCTCTTCAAAAGGACCACTGATTCCAGATGGAAAATACTAGAGCTTATTATAGACATGACTACAATACCTGCTTGAGTAAATTCGGAACATTTCCCTTAAATTCTGAGGATAATTTCTAGTAACCTCCCATCTCCTGATGATCAGTCCATAAGAGAGAAACAAGAAGTTAGCTCCTTTCCTGACGGTAAAGGATCGGCAGGCAAGGCAATATTGTAAAATTTATTCCTAGCCCAGCAGTGAAACTGTTTCGTACTCTCTAGTTCCAGGGGAAGCCATGCCCCACGGTGATGCCCCCAGACAAAACTCATCCCCCTCAATAGGAAGGAATAAGGTTGGAGGCTTCGCCCTCAGTTTTGGGTAGGGGGAAATGTAGAGAAAGAAACCAAGCTTGGACAGGGTTGCTGGAAAGTCCCTAAGCTTTTTTTCCCACTGCCCACGAAAACACAGCTATAAAAACAAATACGCCCCGGGCCACCAACAGCCATCCTCTCTCCCGGTCTCCAGTGGTCAACGCTGTCCCCACCTAGCGCTGTCGGAGGAAAGAGAGGACCGTGCTTGGCCGCAGGCTGGGGCGGATGCTTCGCAGTCACCACTCACCCGGGGAGGAGAAAAGCTCCAAGTCCACTTTTTCCGTCTTGATGATGGTGAGGGTCGGCTTGAGATCCACAGCTGCCTTCATGATGTCGGAGGAACCGGGGAAGTGGAGCAAGTTTGCGTGAGGGTCGACGCTGGTCTTTTTTGATGGGGACTCGTAGAAAGGGCAAAGGATCAGGAATCAGCCAGCCGTCCTTCCCTAAATTCCCACTGGCCGCCCGCGCCCTAACGGTGCACTCTCCCCAGCTACGGGGAAGTTGGCACCCGGGGGCGCACTAAGAGCGCTGTGCGTGGTGGCGGCCCAGCAGTTCCTCCCCACAGCCGCCGGGCAGCTGCGTCTTGGTCCTCCGCTCCACCCGCTACTGCTGCCCCCAGCCCTCGCCCGCCTCTCCTCGGAAGGGCGTTCCTCCGCGCCAGACCCACGCGCCCCGAACCCAGGGCCTAGGAGTACGGCGGGGCGGGCCGAGGGCGGGCCAGGCCGGCCCAGCCGCCACCAATCGTGGCTGAAAGGGAAGAGACGGACGGGCTCCGGCCCCGCCTGGCCACCGCCCCAGTGGCGCGAGCAGGGACGGTCCTGAGCGCGCCGAGCTATGGCTCCCAGGGGCGGCCTTGGCGGCTCCCGGGGAAGTCCGCCCGATTCTTTACGCATTCTTTCGGGCTTCGTCAGCCCCTCCCGCCCCCTCCTGATGGCGCACAATGTTTTCCAAGTGCTTGTGCATCATTCATTCACAAAGACTGACACACAGGACGTGAGGCATGGGACCCATGAGAGGCACGTCCTGGAGCAAGTGTCCTCAAAGGGCTCTGAGACTGACCTCCAGCTCTTAGATGAGTTAGGAAAAGGGGCTAGGTTCCTGGAGGAGCTTGGGGAGGTAGCTGTAGGTGCCTACTCCGGCGTTAGCGAATTTGAGTTGCTGCCCTTAATCGCAACCAAGACCAAGGGAGACTTCTGGAAAGTCCAAAACAAAGGCCCATATTCCCAAATATTCTCGAGATTTGGAGATAGTAGCCCCAAAATAGAAGGCAGGCTTGTGCCTCACTAAGTTCTCGATTTTCTCTACAGTGGTGTTCGCATGGGAAAACCTGTTGCTGTGGATTCTGTTCTGCCTCTTGTTCTAATAATGTCATCCTTCACAAACCTTCATTTTCCCCTTCTACCAGATAAAACAAACAGTTCTATGATCACCACCAAAAAAAAGGAATAAATGCAGAGGTTCTGTGGTTCTGAATATCAATGTTAGCAAGCAAGCAGAATCATACTCACAAGCCTATTCCATCAGGGAACTTTAGACACTTGACACAGCACGATGAGTTCATGATTTGCCTCTGATGCCGGAGTTAGACAGTTCGAATTCACCAGCTACTCTGTTGGAGAAAGCTGGGCAATCTCTTCCCGTGTGATACATAGCCTCTGAAAACCCTTTGGAGGGTGGGCTATGTGTCAGATCCCACCAAACAACGAGTTAAGGTTGAGTGAGCTAGTCATAGATTCGCGTGTAGGATTAAAACTAGTGTTAAACACCGGGGCCCATCATCCACTAACAAATTTCCAGAACAACTCTAGAAAAAGCTGTGTTCAAGAATGTTTCCTAGATTCTTGGCTTGCTGTTGAACTCTCCACACTGCCTCTGAAGACTCCTCTTACACCTGTTTATACTTATCGAAACTAAATTGTGTCTTCTTGCACAATTAGTAAGTTACAGTGAATCAGGCAAGGAAAGAGCAAGGAAGAGAATATAAATCTCTGAATCCTGGTTCAACTTCCATGTTACACCCCTCCTTCCGTGACCAGAGAAAATGCTTATATGTGATAGCCTTGATTTGTTAAGGAACAAAGAGAGCTGCAATCCAGCTGTGTTTCCAAAGATACGAGAAAACAATACTGGCCCCCAGATGACAAGAAAAGGCACTTCTGGCCTTGGGGAAATCTTGGGGAAACAGCTGATGAATGAATTGTGCCCTTACACATCCATCTGAGCAAAAATGAAAAGATTTCGAACCGGCCTGTCTTACACACTATGAATAAATCAGAAGTTGCTTTGGGAAATTTTAGTTTGTTGTTGTTTTATGAAAATGTTGATACTTTTAATTCCAACTACTAGTGTTTTCTTTGTCCAAACACAGCTCCCTCAGAGTCACTCCTTTCTTTCTCCCCAGTCTTTTCTCCAATGCTCTTCCCCATCCAGTTAAATCCTACTGCTACCATCACCAACATAGAGTCCATCATGATTAAACCATCAACACTTTCCTGCTCTACAACTCAACCAATCAGTCTTCCTTTTTCTGATCCATCATAAAAGCTTAAAGGTATTGATGTCCAAATTAAGCAATGAGACTAGATAAAGCAAGAGGGTGAGGGTTGAAGAGATAGTCAGAAACTGATACAGGCTTTCAGGACAATTACTTCTACATAATACTAATTATGAATGTTATCAAAAGTTATGCATATAATTCTGAATCTGTTGGAACAGCCCTTCGGATAAGGAACATCAGTTACAAGTAACTGATCATGTGATAATAATGATAGATGTGATCATTATTATCCCTATGAATGAAAATGTTTTACTGACAGAGTTAAGGAATTCATGTGAAAATTAAACAGCATTAAAATGTAATAAAGTGCAGTTTGGCTCTATTTCATTGCTGTGATCACACCAATGGCTCAATTTTGAAGGTGGATTATCAGGTCTATTTTCCAAGCTTGCCTGGATCGGAAAGCTTCATTGAAATCAATTCCACATTGTAACAACAAACAAACTTCCACCAGCAGATGAATGCAGATGAAATGCATGGACTAGAATTCAAACTCACATCTGTCTCTCCCTCTCCAGCATGCCCACCCAATCTATTCTGTGGAGTAAGAACTAACTCTTAACTGATGCTCCATTCATTTCCAAGGCTGTAAATCTTGCACATTTTTCTTCCTTGGAGCTGGCCATGTATTTGAACTGCCAAGGAGATTCATCCTTTGAGTTAGCAATGCAACTTGGTAGGGACTAAACCTTCAGCTCTTTCACATGCTGTTGTTATATGTGCTTTCCAGTCCACTATGACTCATAGTGACTTTATGAACAACAGATCTGAACCCTGTCCTATCCTGTGCCATCCTCATCAACTGATAGACTTGATCCCATTGTTAGTCACTGTGTCAATCCACCTTGTTGAGGGTCTTCTCCACTTAAGTTGATCCTCCACTTTTTCAAGGATGATGTTTTTTTCCCTAGGACTGATCCCTCCTAACAGCCACCATGGTTCACTTTGTCTCAGTAAATAGGAGTAAGTTCATGCATTTAATTGAATGTCTTAAAGAAATAAAGTTTCAAATATATTGACTTTGATTTAGAAAGGAAGTTCAAATCATTTATATGTTTTGATAGTAACAATTCAACCAGGTTTTAAGTGTCATATTTCAATAATCCAATAAATTTTGATACAGGAATTTCCTTTATCTGTCACATTTAGGTAGGGATTTCTTCAAACACATAAAACATAAAAATAACAAAGATTTCCCCCCTACTCCAGCATTTACGCTCCTCCCTTAACTCCACCTCTACCTCAAAAAAGAAAAAAAAAGTTAGATACACTCAATTTAATAAAATCATCAAGATACATTTCCCACTCCAGAAACACACCAGAGTAAACAATATATCTACTCCTAACTAACACTAAATTCCAAACCAAAGAATCTTTGAATTTATGGCAAAAATATGCTTTATAGAAGGTGCAAAAACATTCAGACCACTAACGGCTAATCGAGAATGAGTTTATGACTCACAGATGTTGATTTACTGGTATAAAGGTAAAGACATCAGCTGAGAGCTTTTGTGGTCATCTTTCTCTGAGAAAAGGCAACAGCCTCTGTCACACATAGAAACTGATTTTAAAAGCTTAATTTTAAAGCTAGTAGTTTCTGTGTGATAAATGTAGTCAGTAAAAACCATACAGGGGCAGAAAAAAGCCTGGGGCTCCTTGTCACCTTTATCAAGCAGCAATAAAGTGGAAAATCAGAGATAGGAAGGAAAATTAAAATGACTCTTAATTAAATTTGGCTGCCAAAAGGCACAAAGCCTTAGGGCGAATTCAAACAGTCAGTCTTGATTCAGAAGCCCTCTCAGTGACTACAAGTTGCTCTGTGACCTTACCACACACACTTAACCTTTGTGCCACAGTTCCATCTCTGTTTCAGAGAATAAAACCACCCCTGGCTCTCCCCATCACATAATGTACATTCATTACCTATTGTTAGGATGGTACAATAAACAATGAGTGATAAGGGGAGTTGCTGTTAGAAGGAAAGTGGGAAAGAGGCCAATGGAGAGGGTAGGAATTGGAGGCCTATCCATCCTAGAAATAAATTACTCTAATCATTCAAAACAGTGTGAAATTTGTAATAAGAGTTCAGATTCTAGGTCTTCCAATAGATCTGCAAATGATCTAGGCTTGACAAATCTAAAGAGTTCTGGTGACCTAGTGGGAAGAACTTGGACTGCCAACCTAAAGGCCCATAGAGCAAACCCACCAGCTGCTCCTCAGGAAAAAGATGGGGGTTATCTCACTCCAATGCAATTTACAGCATCTGAAAACCTGGAGGGTCACTTTAGAATCAGCTCTGACTCAACAGTACATAAAACCATCAGTCTAAAGGTTAACAGACTCTACTTCAGACACTTCAGAAAGGCCTGGCAATCCGCTTGTATAACAATTGAAAATGCTAAGGAGTAGGTCTACTCTAGCACATTTGGGGCATCCTGAGTCAAAACTGAGTTGAGACATTTCTGGTTCTTTGGATAAAAGCCTTAGGTCTCCAAAGTATGTCAGAGTTGGTACCACTCTACAAAAACCAATAAGGCCACTTTACTTACAATAAAGAAAATTAAAAAGAAACAAGGTCTGTAATGGATTGAATTGTATCCCCCCCCCCCAAATACGTATGTAATGATACAAGCTAAAGGAAGAAACCAAGAAATCCAAGAGCTGAACAGAAAATGTCAAAAGGCAGCTCGGGACGACAAAGCAAGATACGATAATGAAATGTGCAGAGAGCTGGAGTCAGAAAATCAAAAGGGCAGAACTCACCCAGCATTT